TGATGGGTTATTCCGAAGATGCGTGGCTGAAGAACAGATGGAAGAAATTTTATTCGGATGCCAAAGCTCGTCTTACGCAGGACACTTTGCGACTTTTAAAACTGCTTCAAAGATCTTACAAGCAGGTTTTTGGTGGCCTACTTTCTTCAAAGATACTCAAGCTTATATATCGCGATGCGATAAATGACAAAGAATGGGCAACATAAGCAAAAGGAATGAGATGCCTCAAAATTTTATTCTCGAAGTCGAAATTTTCGTTGTCTGGAGAATAGATTTTATGGGACCCTTTCCAACTTCTTTTGGAAACCAATACATTTTAGTAGCAGTAGACTACGTCTCTAAGTGGGTAGAAGCAGTCGCTAGTCCCACCAATGATGCAAAAGTTGTCATGAAGCTGTTTAAATCTGTTATATTCCCGCGTTTTGGAGTTCTTAGAATTGTGATAAGCGACGGAGGATCACATTTCATCAACAGAGTTTTCGAGAACCTTCTTAGAAAGAATGGAGTTACACATAAAGTTGCTTCTCCATACCATCCCCAAACCAGCGGTCAAGTAGAAATCTCAAACAGAGATATCAAGTCGATTTTGCAGAAAACTACTGGAGTTCATCGCAAAGATTGGTCTATCAAGCTTGACGATGCATTATAGGCATATCGAACAGCATTCAAGACGCCATTAGGAACAACACCATTTAACCTAGTTTACGGAAAAGCATGTCACCTTCCAGTAGACAGAATGACAGAAAATGCAGTTCCGGAAGAGAGCAAGTGCCGGGACCGCGGCCAACACCCATTTTCCCGCGGGTAGAGCCACCGCGACCGCGGACTTTGGTCGTTCACTTTTCCGACGACTTAATTAAAGCCCAGATCAATTCCTCTCGTTATTTTTGAAGCCCTAAGTGTCCAGAACCACCCCAGAAGCTATAAATACCCACTTTAGGTCATTCTAAAGAGAAAGAACCGAAACTTAGCCAACTTAGAGAGAGAGAGATTTTCGTGAGATCAACCCTAGAGAGCCGCCGCCGTCTCGGAAGAAGGAGCCGCCGCTGGAGGATGCCATCGCGCCTCCATCTGCTTCTCCGTTCTTCGTTTTTCTTCCTTATTCTCTTTAATTTCGTGCACTTTCAATACTCTGTGATGATTGTTTACAATATGTTTGAGTGGTTACCCAGTTGGGTTTAAAGGGATTGTTCAAAGGGAATTTCATGTGTCTTCGCTTATGAATCGATAGATTTAGGATTATTAATCTTCTAGATGTTCTTCGTTTGCCTTTAATCTTACTGCGTGATTCTTTGCTGGCCACTTAGAAGCCGATCTGATATGATATGTTGCGAAAACTTTCATTGATTGTCTGAACTAGGGTGAAACGAGCAATTCTTCTTTAGGAGTGGAAACCTACATGTATTTGAGTTGTGAGTATTGATGAGTCTTGTTCTGCTATTGCATCTTCTCCCTTCCAGAATCAGAGTGGAAACCTACTGATTAGGGTTGCGAGAGATAGTTGTTTAGTGCTGCGAAAGTAGGCTATTCATACTTCTGTGCCTCGAGTTCTAGAGCATACGTAGTTGATTACCTTTATCACTTGTTTAAAATCGACATAGCTTAGTCCTGGAACCCCTGCGAAACCCCTTGTGCCCCAACGTTTGTCTTTAATTGCTTACAACCTTTGCTTCTTATTCAATTTTTCCTGCTTTCAATTTGTCTTTGATTTATTCGCTTATTACCTACTTTCATTGGCCTTAGTTTAATCGCTTTTTTTACTTGTTTTAATTGCCTGCAATTGCTTTTGTTTTCTTTGATTTCTAGTTTAGATTTAGTAACAACGAAAACTCAAAACCAAAACCAAAACCTTTTTAGTTCTAATCTGATTTAAGCGTTGCAGTGAATTCGTACTGAAACAACTAATTCTCTGTGGATCGGTACCCTAAGTACTACAGCGCACATCTGTGCACTTCCAGACATTTAGGGGTTATAAATTTAAAACCTGAAGCTTAGTAAAACGAAAACAACCAACCCCGCTTTTGCTCGCAATCAGCCTTCACCTTCACAGCTCGGCGGATCGTCCTGAGGGACAGCCTCGTCGTCGGCGTACTCGCTCTCCCAGCTCTTTAGCTTCGCCTCCTCGTCGTCGAGCGTTGGGCCGTCTGGTTTCCTCAGATCGGCGATCATTGCAAGGTTGCCCTTGATTTGCCCCAGCTCGTTCTCATCGGTTTTGGCCTTCTCAAGCTTGGCCAAACCTTCCTCCACCTTGGCAAGGCGTTCCTGAAACTTAGCCGTCAGCTCTCGCCTCGCTTCTTTCTTCGCACGCTTGACCTTGGCGTTAAACAAGGCATCCTTGGCCTCGATACGCTTTTGGAGCAACGCCACTTCGGCGCTTTTGGCTCTCCTAGCTTCCTCGAGGCGAATAACCGAGGCGGAAACCTTGCCGACATCGGCACAAAGAACTATCTTCTCCTCTTCTAGCCTCGACACCATGGTCATCGCCTCGTCCAGCTTCCCCTTTGCCACCGCGGTCTCATTCCGAGCCTCGTCCAGCTTCCCCTTCGCTGCCGCGGCCTCATTCCGAGCCTCGTCCAGGCGACGTTTGACCTTGGACAGGTCCGCCTCGTAATCAGCCATCAGCTCGTTGATGGCCGCTACAAACTGCAAAGAATAGTACGCGTTAAACACTTAGTAAGAATTTGATAAAATAAGGAGAGTAAACAGAACATACCTTGGTACCGCGCTGTGCCATCGCGCCATACGACCTCGGTCTCCTCAGCTTCTCAGGAGGAGGAAGACGGGTGTTCGCATTGTTAACACGTGCAAACATCATTGCCGAGGCGTCAGGGTCGTCGACGCGCCTGCTTGCGTTTCTTCTTGGCCGGCTCGTCCTTTTGGATAGCTACGCCCTTCCCCTTATCAGCTGCCAAACGTTTTCGGCCAGAATCATGCTTCTGTAAAAGCGAAGTCGGGGGTCTCGATGACTTCGGAAGATCCAGAATAGCCGAGTTGGAAGGAGTTTTACTCCTTGCCGCAGAGTCATCTTTTGACGCCTCGGGAATAATTTCGCCCGGTTCCACCTCAGGCGCTACTTCTTTCTCGGTCGCCTCGGCAACGTTTGCCTCTGCGGCTCGGACCGTGCCTTCACCTTCACGGCTCAGCGGATCGTCCTGAGGGATAGCCTCGTCGTCGGCGTACTTGCTCTCCCAGCTCTTTAGCTTCGCCTAGTCGTCGTCGAGCGTTGGGCCGTCTGGTTTCCTCAGATCGGCGATCATCGCAAGGTTGCCCTTGATTTGCCGCAGCTCGTTCTCATCGGTTTTGGCCTTCTCGAGCTTGGCCAAACATTCCTCCACCTTGGCAAGGCGTTCCTGAAACTTAGCCGTCAGCTCTCGCCTCGCTTCTTTCTTCGCACGCTTGACCTTGGCGTTAAACAAGGCATCCTTGGCCTCGATACGCCTTTTGAGCAATGCCACCTCGGTGTTTTTGGCTCTCCTAGCTTCCTCGAGGCGAATGGCCGAGGCGGAAACCTTGTCGACATCGGCACGAAGAACTATCTTCTCCTCTTCTAGCCTCGACACCACGGTCATCGCCTCGTCCAGCTTCCCCTTTGCCGCCGCGGTCTCATTCCGAGCCTCGTCCAGCTTCCCCTTCGCCGCCGCGGCCTCATTCCGAGCCTCCTCCAGGCGATGTTTGACCTTGGACAGGTCCGCCTCGTATTCAGCCATCAGCTCGTTGATGGCCGCTACAAACTGCAAAGAATAATACGCGTTAAACACTTAGTAAGAATTTGATAAAATAAGGAGAGTAAACAGAACATACCTTGGTACCGCGCTGTGCCATCGCGCCATACGACCTCGGTCTCCTCAGCTTCTCAGGAGGAGGAAGACGCGTGTTCACATTGTTAACACGTGCAAACATCATTGCCGAGGCGTCAGGGTCGTCGACGCGCCTGCTTGCGTTTCTTCTTGGCCGGCTCGTCCTTCTGGATAGCAACACCCTTCCCCTTATCAGCTGCCAAACGTTTTCGGCCAGAATCATGCTTCTGTAAAAGCGAATTCGGGGGTCTCGATGACTTCGGAAGAGCCAGAATAGCCGAGTTGGAAGGAGTTTTACTCCGCGCCGCAGATTTATCTTTTGACGCCTCGGGAATAATTTCGCCCGGTTCCACCTCGACGCTACTTCTTTCTCGGTCGCCTCAGCAACGTTTGCCTCCACGGCTCGGACCGTGCCTTCACCTTCACGGCTCGGCGGATCGTCCTGAGGGACAGCCTCGTCGTCGGCGTACTCGCTCTCCCAGCTCTTTAGCTTCGCCTCCTCGTCGTCGAGTGTTGGGCCGTCTGGTTTCCTCAGATCGGCGATCATCGCAAGGTTGCCCTTGATTTGCCCCAGCTCGTTCTCATCGGATTTGGCCTTCTCGAGCTTGGCCAAACCTTCCTCCACCTTGGCAAGGCGTTCCTGAAACTTAGCCGTCAGCTCTCGCCTCGCTTCTTTGTTCGCACGCTTGACCTTGGCGTTAAACAAGGCATCCTTGGCCTCGATACGCCTTTTGAGCAAAGCCACCTCGACGCTTTTGGCTCTCCTAGCTTCCTCGAGGCGAATGACCGAGGCGGAAACCTTGTCGACATCGGCACGAAGAACTATCTTCTCCTCTTCTAGCCTCGACACCATTGTCATTGCCTCGTCCAGCTTCCCCTTTGCCGCCGCGGTCTCATTCCGAGCCTCGTCCAGCTTCCCCTTCGCCGCCGCGGCCTCGTTCCGAGCCTCGTCCAGGTGACGTTTGACCTTGGACAGGTCCGCCTCGTATTCTGCCATCAGCTCGTTGATGGCCGCTACAAACTGCAAAGAATAGTACGTGTTAAACACTTAGTAAGAATTTGATAAAATAAGGAGAGTAAACAGAACATATCTTGGTAGCGCGTTGTGCCATCGCGCCATACGACCTCGGTCTCCTCAGCTTCTCAGGAGGAGGAAGAGGCGTGTTCGCATTGTTAACACATGCAAACATCATTGCCGAGGCATCAGGGTCGTCGACACGCCTTCTTGCGTTTCTTCTTGGCCGGCTTGTCCTTTTGGATAGCTACGCCCTTCCCCTTATCAGCGGCCAAACGTTTTCGGCCAGAATCATGCTTCTGTAAAAGCAAAGTCGGGGGTCTCGATGACTTCGGAAGAGCCAGAAAAGCCGAGTTGGAAGGAGTTTTACTCCGCGCCGCAGCGTCATCTTTCGACGCCTCGGGAATAATTTCGCCCGGTTCCACCTCGGGCGCTACTTCTTTCTCGGTTGCCTCGGCAACGTGTGCCTCCGCGGCTCGGACTGTGCCTTCACCTTCACGGCTCGGCGGATCGTTCTGAGGGACAGCCTCGGTCTCTGTTTGAGCCGCCTCAGCGGCTCGTCTCGCAGCTTCTTCTTCCTCACGCCTTTTCTTATCTCTAAGAGTAATGATCACCATTTTCTCCCTTATGTCTTGTGAGGAATTTGAAGACGAAGAGCTAACAGGAACTCCGACAAGAATGGCTCCCGCTCTTTCCACTCTCTCGAATGTAAAATGCTTCCTCCAATTAACTCTCCGAGCCGCAAGAGAATCTCGGACAACAAAGAGGTCGTCGGGAATTTGGGGAAAAATGTTCCGAACTGCAAAAACAACACGAAAACAATCAGCTCGGTAAGGGAAGATTATACGATAACAGTTCCAAGCCGAGGCAAAGCTTCGGATCGGCTACCAAGTGGTCCCGAAGCGGTCTTGGTTTTTTGAACGTAATCCTCGCCGACTGACGCCTCGTTCACCAAGACATAGAAGAAGCGCTCGGTCCAAAACTGATCCTTGCTTGGAAAACCACCTATGATCCGGCGGTTGGACTTGTTGGAGATGTAAAATCTGTCTCCCTTCAGAGCTTTTCTGATCTCCAACAAGTTTAGCAGGTGATTCAGTTCAATATCGAGCCCGCATTCAAAGCTTCGAACCAGAATACCGATCATGTGCCGCAGACCCCTCGGCATGATCTGCCCGATTGAGATCCCATGTTTCCAGAGGTACTCAAGGATAACTCCGGGGATCGGAAACAGAAGAAAACAAAGCTCAAAGAATGCCTCGTACAGAGTAAAGTGATTCTCAAGGGGTTTGTCGGCTCGGTCATTCTTCTCTGGAAGGACGAATTCTACCGCCTCGGATATCTCGAAACGACATCTCAACGCCTCGAGTGAATCAGGGGAGGAGAGCATAGAGCCGGGCGGGTCAGGTTTTTGTCTTTTCACTCGTTTTTGCTGATAACTAAGAGCTTTCAAGGCTCTTTGTAGAGGTTATCAATCCCCTGTCTTGTAGTACAAGGGGTTTATCAATCCATATGTGGTGTTAGACACTAAACTATGTGATCAGATTCTTAATTCAAGCAAACAAGAGTGGTTTTGATTAACTAATGACAACTACAAACTTAAAAACAGGATTAAAGACTAAAGAAGAACTAAACAATGACAAGTGACATGATTATGATATGATGGAGGCATGAGATTCTAGAGATGATAGTTGGTTAGGGTGCTTTGGTGCTAAACTAGAAATGCTAATGACAATGATGAGACATGATTCAAATGATTAAGAACTCTAATCTAGGTTAATCCTCTCATGAAGGTATTAACCCCTATACTAATCCATTTTCAAACCAAATCATCATTTGTGAAATATGAATCATATGCATTAATAAACAGTTCTAATGATCATTCAAGCAAATAACAATACATCATCATGCAGCAAATGCTTAAACCCCTAATACAGCTCTTTCAGGAATTTCATCAAACACTTTTGGTGCATGAAATTCCTAGAATCTAGATCTCAAGTGATATGCAAGGATCTAGCATAGAGAACAGCTGTTTAGAGAGATGAATCAATGAATCTAGCCCTAAGCACTCCTAATCTAACACTTTAGCACCCTAACCTACACATCTAGAACCTCATTAAGGTGACTACTCACTAATCATACTAATCTATCTTAAACCTTTGCAAGTTGAGAAGATTGGCATGATTAATGATGAGAAATAGAGATGGAGATGATAGATTAAGAGGAAACACTATTCAAACCGATATTAAACTCAAAAGCAAGGTATTAACAAGTGGTCTTTCACTAAAAGTAGGATAAAAGTTCTCTCCAAATTAGGTCTAAAAAGTATTTATAGAATCCTTGGACGAACCGGGTCAACCCGGAACAAACCGGGTACTGACCCGGCCTTGGTGGGTAAAGAATGAGATTGCCACGGTCTAGCAGGTTCTTGGTCAGGCCGTGGCAAGTGACCGTGTCAAGTCTTGTATCTCGTGTTCTTGGATGAATCATGGTGCCACGGTCTAGCAAGTTTGGGTCAAGCTGTGGCAGGTGGTCGTGTCAAACGTCGAAAGAACGCACAAAGTTGCCACGATCAGATGTGAAGCCATGATGCATGGCCGTGTCAAACGCCGAAAGTATGCGCAAGGTTGCCACGGCCAAGTCCTAGGCCGTGGCGTGGAGACCGTGTCAAACGCCGAGAAGTTGCACAAAGTTGCCACGGCCAAGTCTTAAACCGTGGCACAGAGATTGTGTCATGTGCCGAATGTGAGTAAAGTCCTTCCGCGGCCAAATGTTACTTTGCCACGGTCAAGTGTAGACCGTGGCATGAAGATCGTGTCAAACGCCGAAGGACTGCAATTAAGTGCCACGGTCAGGTGTGGACCGTGGCATTCCATCGTGCCATCTTTCCCTTAGCAAAATTTCAAAGCCAAGATAGGTGTTATCAATCTCGCATCGTTCAGGGCTCCTCGGACCACTTCGCGTTCAGGGAAGCGTAACCTCTAAGATATTTGTCTGAATTGTGTGCTTCCGGTTTCAGAGGACAGAAGACTCATATATCTTCAACTTTTGTGGAGGAAGCTTCGGTGCTTGGGAAGTGGAATGTTTCCTGGAGGGCTCATCTTCGCAGTGCATTTACACGATCAGAGAAAGGCGTCTAGACATGTGTCCATTCCGGAGACGTTATCTTCTTTCTCATAGCTCCGAATTGAATGATCTCGGACGTTCTGGAAAGAGGACTCAATCATCTCGGATTCTGATGAAGGCCCCGTAAACTGAATCGGTCTGGAAGTTCACCGTCCTTCGCATTCGTCGGAGCTCATCGGCTTGGTCCAAAACGGCAGCAAGACAGGAGTTTCTTCCGACGAGCTTAGCTTTCTGCTCACGCGTCCGAATTCCATGATTCCACTTGCTCTGGAACCGTGATCCAATCTTCTCCAACTTTGATGAAGCACCCGACAGCTGAATCGGACCGGAAGGTTCCCCGGACAGGCGATTTCGGAAACGTGTATGCACCCGGAGATTTTGGCCGAGAAATTCATTAGCCGGTACGCGTTTTGGCCGAGGGATCCACCCGCGGTACGTGAGAATGGCCGAGAAAACCTTCCTGCGGTACGTGAGAATGGCCGAGAACCTCCAAAAACCCATTTTTGCCATTTTTCAAACCCTGATCACCATTTCTCTTTCTGGATTCACCTCTTCAACTCCAAATAGCTCCAAATGCACCTGATAAACACTCAAAACATGCAAAGACTCATTGGGACCTAATGCATCTCCTAAGTCCTAAAACAAACCCTAAGGACCTAAAATGCATGGAATAAGATATGCTTTGGAATGAAATATGCAACCTAAATGATGCAAATTATGAACATATCAACTCCCCCACACTTTTTCTTTGCTTGTCCTCAAGCAAACAAGAACAAATGAGAGAGAGAGGTTGAATGCATGGGAGTTCACATTTCCTTTTTGAGAGACGTGATCACAATGAGAATTCAAGTTCATGCTCAATTATGCAATGCAAAGCCATACTCAGATATATATCAACTCAGCAAGGAATCTCCACAAGTTCTTCTCTCTCTCAACTCTTTCACATTCATTAAGTTTATCAGGTGAATCTCATGATGCAATGTTTAAACAAGCTGGCTTGGCTAGGGAGAGGCTATGAGATTAAAATGATCTCATCAGTGTTCAAGCGGGTTTAATGCAGCAAAGGGATCTCTCTATGAATGATCAAACTTTGGCAGAATGCTAAAGGTAAAAAGCAACCTATGCATAGAAGGGCAAAGAATCATCACACCCCACTCTCTACTCAAAGCTTTCTCACTTGTTCACTCTCTCAAGAACCTCACTTTTTACACTTATTTTCCTCTCACTAGGAGACTTACTTTTCACTTTCACTCTCAAGTCTTGGAGTTCAAACTTTACACAGCTCTTTTTCTTTTGCAACCTCTAGCCTCTTTTTCTTCTTTCTTTTGAAATTGAGCTCTTTGGCTTCATTTCTTTTCCTTTTACTTAGAGGCTAGACTCTTTCTTTTCAACACACCAGAGTGATAGATAGGACTTTTTAGGGTCTCAGGGCTATCAATCCCCTTGTCAAAGTAGCACAAAGAGGTTTATCAATCCAGTGTGGTGTTAGACACTAAACTATGTGATCAGGTTCTTAATTCAAGCAAACAAGAGTGATTTTGGGTAACTAATGACAACTACAAACTTAAACAGGATTAAAGACTAATGACAATGACAAATGATGTGAATATGATATGATGGAGGCATGAGATTCTAGACATGATAGTTGGTTAGGGTGCTTTGGTGCTAAACTAGAAATGCTAATGACAATGATGAGACATGATTCAAACGATTAAGAACTCTAATCTAGGTTAATCCTCTCATGAAGGTTTTAACCCCTATACTAATCCATTTTCAAACCAAATTCCCATTTGTGAAATATGAATCAATATGCATTAATAAACAGTTCTTAATGATCATTCAAGCAAATAACAATACATCATCATGCAGAAAATGCTTAAACCTCTAATACAGCTCTTTCAGGAATTTCATCAAACACTTTTGGTGCATGAAATTCCCAGAATCTAGATCTCAAGTGATATGCAAGGATCTAGCATAGAGAACAGCTGTTTAGAGAGATGAATCAATGAATCTAGCCCTAAGCATTCCTAATCTAACACTTTAGCACCCTAACCTACACATCTAGAATCTCATTAAGGTGACTACTCACTAATCATACTTATCTCTTTTAACCTTTGCAAGTGGAGAAGATTAGCATGATTAATGATGAGAAATGGAGATGGAGATAGTAGATTAAGAAGAAAGCAGCTTTAAAACTCAAAAATCTCTTAAACTCTATTGATTAAAAAGCCAAAAATCGATATTTCTCTTCTTGGTGGAGTCTTTTTTCACAAAAGAGTCAAGAGAGAAAGGGAATAAAGCTTGGTCCTTTCAGAAAAAACCCTAAAAAGTATTTATTCCTCTCTAAAAACGAACCGGGTCAGCCCGGAACAAACCGGGTCCTGACCCGGCTTTAATGGATAAAGTGGAATTACTGCGGGTTGGTCCAGTGTCTCCCAGGTAGCACGCCCAAGTCGCAGTAGATGAAGAACTTTGCTTGTGAGACTTAAATCGCTTGTCTTAGCCGCATGCCCAAGTAGGAGTGCTTTGCGAGTCTTGCTGCGGCTTGATCTCCTTCTTCTTCAACTCGCAGGACCAAGGCGGTTTCTGGGTAATGTGCATATGTGCGGGTTGGTTTCCATTTCACCTAGGTCGCAGGCTCAAGGCGGAGTGATTTGCGAGTGATCGTGCGGCTTAGTTCCAGGCGCAGCTAACTCGCATGCCTAAGTCGCACGATTGTGGACTTAGCATTTCTCTTGCTCGGGAGCCTCAGACCTCATCCAGTGATAGCTTACCCGCACTTCTCAACTCGCAGCATCAGCTTTCAGGCATTCGCCTTCAGGCCTGCGGGTTAACCAAGTAGCAAGACCATCTCGCAGCATTCAGAGCAGCTTGGACCACTGCGCATTCCACAGAGTGTAACTTCCACGAAACTTGTCCGAATTGAGTGATTCCGGTTGCAGAAGACAGAGGACTCATTTATCTCCAACTTTGGGGAAGGGAACTTCGGTGCTTAGGAAGTGGAAGGCTTCCTGGAGGGCACATCTTTGCAATGCATTTACACGATCAGAGAGAGGCGTCTAGACATGTGTCCATTCCGGAGACTGTATCTTCCTGCTCATAGCTCCGAATGGAATGATCTCGGACGTTCTGAAAAGAGGACTCAAGTGTCTCTGATTCTCATGAAGGCCCCGGAAACTGAATCGGCGTGGAAATGCACCGTCCTTTGCATTCTTCGGAGCTCATCGGCTCGGTCCAAAACAGCAGCGAGACAGGGGTTTCTTA